TAAAAAAGATACTTTGTCCATGACGTATATCATTAACCTTTTCATCCCATGGAATGGGCAAGCGTTAGAATTCCTCACAATCGCATTGTCATTGAAATACATATATTAGTCACACAACTTAACCGCTTGACTACTGCAGTAGCGCGCAAAAGCGTGGCGAACCCTTCCGGAGGTAACTTTGTTCTGAAGATTAGTTTTTGAGCTCTAGAAGTAAACCTCCTCCACTGAAACAGCAACATTCTTGCTGAAAAAGAGCGAAAGCGAATATCGATGAAATTTTTACTGAACTTTCTCATTATGATCGGATTCCTAGTAAAGGTCAAGTTAAAGTAAAAAGCTCACATTTCATCATAACTATCAAGCGCATTATCCCCCCCCCCCATTTTATTCTCGAGCTACAAAGTGTACAAGAAGGCTCTACAGCATTGCAGAAACCGCTTCGACCACTCCGATTTCTGTCAGACCGCAGCATGCCGACGTCTGCGCTCTCTCATCGATTATGCGCTCTCGTTCAACCTCTCTCCCTTGCTCAGTTTCTCACCGCCCTAGCACTAAGTAAGCAAGTCCCTAACTTTGGCTTTTCAAAGAATTCTTTTCCAAAACCACACCTGTTCCTGGAGCTCACGTTCGATGGTGATGGAACGAGAAAGCTGTATGATAGCATTAGAGTCTGACAAAGATTAGACATACATTCAGCATACTCCAGAAGGAAGAAATTAGTGTCGGATGAAGCTGATCGAAATTTCATCGACGATGCGTGTGATAGCACGCTAGTTGCAACATCATGCCTTGCCCTGATTGAGTGACTAACTGTGAGTTGACAAATATGTACTTATTGATCAGGAAGTTCCTACCATTAACTCTTTTTGTGAATATTCAATTTAGCATGACTGGAGGTCAGAAGCATGTACCATCACCATCTACCATCCGACACCAACAATCGTGCAGCTTGTCGATCCTTTTCTCCCACAATGAGAGGAGCTGAGACGTGAGGGCCGAGCAATGCCTCCCCGACTTCGCCCTCCATCACGAAGTTTGTTGTAGAGAAAACTAAAGATAGCCCAAGAGGCTGAGGGCGAGGCCAGTGCTTCTGCATTTCAGGATTACCAGCCAGGCGTGCTTTCCAACAGCCTGGCTGCATTGACGTAAGATGTAGTAGTAAAGCTTGATGGCCGCACGGCGGTGACCGGGGCTGGCTGGTAATCAGTTAGACCTCCAGCTCTGCCCGCGAGGTAACTGGATCTCAAGACAATTGACGACTAGTAAAAAAAATCGGGACGAATCCAGCCAAGCAAAAACCCTCAATCACTACTTTGCGCCCCAATTTCCCTTTCTAGAGGAAGAAGTCGAGAAGTTGGCTAGGGGTAGGCGTCGAGAGGTAGACGCTGATAGTCATATTCCTGATCTCTGGGCTGGGTCTTTCCTGGATTTGCAGAGTCGAGGCAAGGATCTGCCCGACCAAGTATATTTATGAGAGGGGGTGCTCACATGCTAGATCAGTCTCCTTACTTAGCAGTTACTTTAATCACATGTCATAGTTAAAGCAACAGGCTACCACTACCATAGGCAGAATGAAAGCAGTAAGCACTACACATGTGTTTTTTTTTCTGATAAGTGGAAGAAAGCCAAACATACTCAACCAACTCTTTCGCCACACCTTCATTCCCACCCAGTTCAAAACATAAATTTGTTTTAACTTCATGTTTCATCGTCACATAACGACGATTTTGAGCAATAAAATGATGGAATTTGAAGGGATTTTGAAAAGTTACAACCAATGTTTTCCTAAATTCCTGCACAGTGGATCAACAAACGGCCATCAAAGTGGCTAATTAATGGGAGTTCATCTTGCATCAAGAATGAAACAGAAAGAAAAGTGAGGAAAAGGTCAAAAGTTAGCTTCCACGACAGGTTTCGAAAATTGATCTAAAGGAATGACAGGAAAACACATACCCCTTTATTATGTCTCTTTGTTCAAACATAGGATGCATTCTATCCTCTTCTTCCATGAAGGGATTATAGCTTCTGAAAATTCATCGAATTAATTTGTACGATTGAAATACGATAAGCATGAATCAAAAGGATGAGATTTCCGACGCAGTTGGTTCAAGGTGTGTCGCTCCCGCGAATGAGGCTTCTTGTTATTAACATTACCTAGTCAGTGGCTAAGTAAAATACCAATCAAGAAACGAACCTAGTCTGCTGTGGCGTCCAACCATCTGCGGCTTGTTTTCTCGTACGTTCATGAACAACACTGACAGGTGATCGATCTTTCAGAGCCACGGAAGGAAGAGAAGAGGAAGCCTGAAAGCCGAAAGGAAACGAATAGTGCGACTAATGAAATCTATAGGTAGGAAACCACCAACGCTTGATATTAGTAACAACAATGAAATGCACAGCCAGAAGAACATACACGCACTCCAACAACTTCATTCGCGGCTCTCATGCGAGACTCCTCAATTTGACGAGCGACTTCCTTCTTATGTATTTCAACCAGTTTCTCGTACTGTTGCGCTGTTGGTAAAGACACCAATGAGGACATGATGCTCTAAAATGCTAGTCAAGTGATCACTAACAAAGTTCATGACAAAGCCAGCGGATATCAACTTTTAGAAGAAAAAATAGGAAGCTGCCAAGCTTGAAAAGACTTTTAAAGCGTAAGGGAAAAGGAGAGTATACCTGCAATGTTTGCACACATGCGAATCGGATGTTCTTCCTAAGTTGAGCCTCTTTCACTCCGCAGTTTTCATTTTCTGCTTCAGCAACAATACTCTGACTAGAACACAGCCATATATAGTGCTAGTTTTGAACGAAAGTATTAGTACCACTACCGAAATTCTCTTCCAAAAAGAAGAGCGGTAACATTTCAATGATAAGCTTACTTCTACTTACCTTAAACTGTCAATATCACGTTGTTTTTGAAGCAGTCGACTACGAAGTTGCTCAGCAGCTGCTAATGCGTACATGGTCTCCCCGTTGCTGAAAATATCAGTAGACGTTTCTGAAGTAACGCCGAAATATAAAAATCTGTTGCATCGCTCCAGACCAAGGAACACTGTTACACAATTTCAGCTTAGGCCACTCACTGCCATGGTTCCGACAGTTACTTATCAATGACTCGGAGTGATCGTCGTAGAGAAATGTTCAAAATGCGGCATGTCGTTCGTATGTGATTGGTCTAACGTGATCTTCCTTACAAAACCAAATGATTTTCCGAGCCGAGAGAACACATCGCACTGCTCAAGGAAAAAAAAAAACTAAAATTATACCGGTACATACTTGATGCTGTCGGACATCCGCGTATAACTCGGTACCATCGCCGATGCCTCTGCAATCATTCGATCCAGAGTTTCGTACTGCTCGGCAAGAGCAGGAGGGTTTCTTTGTTCCATCATCTGTTCCCGTCGACTCAAATCCGCCATACATGATCCACAAACTCGCAAACATTCTTGAGCATCCTTCAAAAGCCAGGCTTTAGCCAATAAAACATTTTAGTTCAGAAATTAACCAAATGCAGGCAGAACTAAACAAGTATTCCATGGCGAAGTTAAACCGACATAACCAAGGCCCGAAACACCCACAACGGTCACTCGTATAGAGAAACACCACCATCCATCAGCACGTCACGACACCAGCCCGTGCACTTAACAACAGTGACGGGTTATCAGGCGACGTTGGTCTACCTGCTGGAGTAGGGAGCCGAGACTGACTTCACTGCCATCCGTCGTCTGGATCTTGGAAACGGCTCCTTCAATGAACGAGATCACCTTTCCGGTCGTTTTCTGAGTCATTTCCAACAATCGGCGACTATGTGACGGTGATGCTTCTGCAGTCGTGGGAACGGCGTCATTGTTCAGCATCTCAGCAGCCAGAGCCGGATTCGTCAACTTCCCTGAGAAAATGACACATGAACGGGTATGTTTTTTCTAAAAGTAAACACATGATCAAGTTGCGATTTCACTCGGAACAAAAGAAGTGGCGTGAAGGGGGACCTATAGTGGAGAAAAAAGAAAGACGAACGCTTTCCAATGACTACGGAGACTACAAGAGGCAGACAGTAAGATAAGAGATACTAAACACAAGAAGAGGGAAAAGAATGGTAGAAGTGTGGGTATGGACACGAACTAGAACGGATACAACCTCCGAAGTCACTTTACGGGCAGCCCCAGACGCCGAGTGGAATCCCATGGGTATTATTAATTTTTCCTGTCTCTGTTCATGCGGCCAAGTCAGCGTATCCTGTGTGCTTAAAAATCCCTCTAGCTTACTCGGACTGGGCTTCACTCCAGAGCCCTAATCGTGGGGTGTGCCTTCAATATTGCAATCATACAAAAATATCAGAAACTCTTACTAGCTGAGAGAAACGAAAGAAATTGACTGCACTGATGACACATCACTCGACCGCAAAGCCGGCAGTGATGCCGTCGACGTGCGATGCTGAACTTAGCAGCACATCGAGTACAGTGCAACGATTCAGAATCGGCAGACCATGGAACAACCTCGCGTTCAAACTCTAAACAAAATCATTCTAGAAAACATAGGCAAAATAAGCAGCAAAAAATATGCCTTCTACCTTTCCTCTTCGAAGGGTCACACGGGCACTCATTGATAAGTCGATCGAGTCGTATAATGAGCATATTCGTCCTAACTGCACTCTCATTTACTGAAGAGTCACGAATTTTACGAAAATACTCTGTTTGTGATCGCGTAACCCCTGAAATTAAATTTGATGGACACCTTTGAAAAAGCAAAAGCACGAATTCCACACCTATTTCGGCTCGCACAGGTGGGGGCCGAACAATGGCAGGAGGACGGGCAGGCCTTGCTTTTTCCTGTACAGCCGATGCCATGGATGCCAGATCGGCTACACTGTTCGAAACCCCGATGTTCACCTGCAAACGAACAACTGACAGCTACTGGTGATTCACCAAATGCTACTGGGTTGCCCGGTTAATCGAAGGCGCTCCTCAGATGACTTTTCATTCCAAACTTTTTTCCCCATTCTCATCTTGACAGCGCTTGGATGCCACTTTCCCGGAACCTCGCGGTTTCAGTGCCAAAGCTATCGCCGCCTTTGCCGCTGGGGAGCGGCAAAGGCAATAGAAGCGGAGTCTTTTCTTGAGGAAAAAGGCATCTTCCATTTCTGCTTCCTCTTTTTCTTGACATTCACATAAACGTCCGTGTGCGTATCCACTATCAGTGTCCGCTTCCCAACCAAAGAGGGCACATATTAAGCCCATCATGTGGTGGGTCTCTCGTTTTTGTTGCCCGTGTGGTTCTCATCCAGGGGGGAGTCGAGAAGCAAACCAATTTTTGTTCATGGTGACAATTCGTCTAAGGTCCTCGAACTACCGCAAACATAGGTCCTACAGTTAATTAAGGTATCTAATGAGCTAACCATAAAACTCTAGTATTCAAAAGTACATTCAGTGAAGATTCAGGTCATCTTATAAAAACTCAAACCTATTAACATGTAAAAATCGATACTCAAATCTACCTGGAAAGACAAATAGAATATGTCTTCCAACGATGTATAACGCCTTCTCTTCTTAAAAGATGGGTACTGAAATGTCCCACGGTAATAACTTGTTCAGCTTTTCACCTCTTCAATTATCTTCAGGGACCACAATATTTCAATATACCTACTTCTGGTCGTACTGCTTGCTATAGCACAGTTAGACTGGAATCATCTTTTACGGGAAAGCTCCCCTCAACTTCACAATGGAATTCTTCTAAACCAAAACACCGGAGCCAAGGCTGTGCTGCGCTTGGGAGGTGCTTCTTCGGCCCCATCTTTCAATGTTACTTCGACAGGTCTAAGGAGCACTACTCAGAGTTTCAGCACATCGAAGAAAACTTGCCCAAACCACTGTCTTGACACCTTCAGTTCAATCTATAAAAAACCCAATATAACAAGTAAAACTGAAATTCAAATCTACTGGGAGAAAGAAGATAGAATATGCTTGCCAATGATGTATAAGGTCTCAAAGGAAGTTTTAGTAAAAAAATATTCCAAGTATGCAAGGCGTCTCGAAACCCGCATTACTTTCCGAACAACCTAATAGATCAATATCCCCCATGATATACTGACTTGGCATGTCGGTCTGCCGTTCAGCTCACCTGCTAGAGAGAAAATAATCTCACCTTTGACATTGTCGATAACAGTATCGGTGAGGTCCTGCCCTCCCTCAGGATGGACGCTATTGACATGGCTCTGCAGACGTGGGAAGTCACCAAGATCTGTCATACAAAATGGACAGATGAACCCCTAAAATCATGAACACTTGATCAGATTTAACAATGCTATGTTAGCAGCTATGTAGTAATACTGCGTAATATAGTAGTATCATTTGGAATACAACGCACATAAATGTTGACCGTAAACAACAGCCTTTCGCCATCTCGACATAAAGGACAGCACTACA